AATAAACATAAATGTTTCTGAAACGTTCTAGCAACTTATATATTACAAATCATATAACATTGAGAATTAGCTTCGGCTAAAATGTTGTAGTGTGGAAGATGAGCTTATGTAACATATTAAAATAAATACACTGTAGCCATCCTCTGTTTGCTGATGTTGTTTGTGTCAGGTCTGCAGTCTTGCACTCCTCCGTCGTTCGAGGAAGCGACCACAGCGTCAGTGGCCACAACTCTGTCCTCAAACACCTCCATATCTATCCAGAAACGCTCCCCGTCGGACACCGCAGAACACACACGCTACAGGTCCACACCTCTCCCAATTATCAAACACTGACTGCAAATGCATAACTGTTAATCACGTACTTAATATACAGTCAACCAAAAATTATTCGGACATCAGATATCATTTTTACTAGTTGGTGTAGGACACTATAATTCATTTATGAGGATAGCAAAATGTCTGAATACATCTGGTTTGTCTGTATATATAAATACACACATGCATGTATATATTTAGAAATTTGTTTCTCTCAAAATATTTATATTTTATATTTTATTTATATATAATACAAATATATATATAGCAAATATTTCCTTAATATATACAATGCATGCGTGTGTATTTATATGCAGTATACAGTACACACAAACACAAACTGTTGCACGGCCCTAATTATAATAATTGCAGATTTCTTGTTGCATCCAATATTGGTTCTTTGTCATGTTTTAATGCATTTGGTGCATAACAATTAATGCATTAAAAATACTTTTATTATGCATTAAAGTAAAGTGTTCTCACAACAACTAGCCTGCGTTGTTCTGACCGTATCCATATGAATATGCATTGTTCTGAATATGAATGTTGATTGTCTCGACAGAAGACGCACACTGTCTCTGAAAGATGGCGAGGGGAGGTGAGCTTGATTTGCGTTGCTGTATGTGTGTGTTTAGTGTGCGTCTGGTTTAATCTGTGTGTTCCCGCAGGACTCATGAAGTGGTGGACGTGCACGAGGAAGAGCAGCAGACCATCACTGTGCAGGTGGAGGTGAAGAGAGAGAGAGTAGAGGAGGAGGAGGAGGAGCCTGACGTCTCTCTGACACAGTATGTGCAAACAAGACCTCATTACTCCACTAAACACACACCTATAGAAAAATCATGTTCTGCAGTGCATATACATGCATGCATAGGTATTTATATATACAAAATAATTATATACAGCACACACAAATATATTATGTAAACACAGACTTTTATTTTGGATGCGATTAATTGCAATTAATTTTTGCACAGCCCTAATATATGTATATATATATATACAAGAGCCCGGCCGATAAAGGATTTTGGAGGCCGATACCGATACAAATATTTGTTGGTTTTAAAATCCGATATATCGGCCGATATTTTATTTTTTATTTTTCACAGAAACGCGCAACAAAACATTAACAGATTTCCCTGACATTATTTATTTGTTTGTATTTGTAATATGATAATGCATTTTAAAAAGAAACTTGTTTCTTTTATTGTCACAACAGAACAGACGAACATCAAAATATATTAAAGTTCTGATAAATAAAATAATAATTAGTCCCTACATTGCTTTATAAGCTACCTGCAAACTGGATCAGCAGGATGTGTGGCACGTTATACACGAGTGTTGCCAACAGGAACGATGTAGAGCGCCCTCTGGTGGACAAACTATACAACTCCAACACTCATGACATGATTCAAGCGTGTTTCGTCCGTTTTTATTTTATTTTATTTCATTTATCGCCCATTATAACTGCCGATACCGATAGTTTGGAAAATGCCTAATATCGGCCGATAATATCGGCCTGCCGATATATCGGTCTGGCTCTAGTTTATATATATAATATTATATATATATTCCCAGGAAATTTATGAACTGAAAATTGTGTTTGAGTGTGTGTGTGTGTGTGTGTGTGTGACCGTGATCATGGTGACTCTCAGGATTTATTTGGGGAAAATGACCAGATGTACATTATCCTTTACCAAGGTTCAGGTTTTATTTTACTATGCAAAAGTCCATAGAAAAACTAAAAGCTGACAGGAAAAAGCATAAATAATCCGTTATTAATTTTCTGCTGGTTCTCTTTGTTTTTGCATGTGTTGTTCTGTTCATAATCTCTTTATATGACAGTCTGGACAAAAATTATGTCTCACAATTTGTTTATTTTCCTCAGCCGGACATCACTTTTGACCAGTACTGTATGTGGTATATAACAGGTTGCTAGGGTGCTTTGGATGGTTGCTAGGTGGTTGTGATTTTTTGATTTGCTGGTTATTTAAGCCAGTGATTCACAAACCTTTTGTCAACAAACTCTTTTATTGTTTTTTTTTTTTTTTTACAACATTCACATGGACACAGTTCTCGATTAATGGTCCGGTAAATAAATACAATTAATTAAAAAATATATTAATAAAAAACTGAAAATGTATTTTATTTATTTTATAGCAAGCAATAACAACACTGGTGGATAAAATGAAATATTCAATTTTGAGCAGTCAAATCAATTAATCACACTGTATGCATATATGTGTGTGTATATATATATATATATATATATATATTGTGTATATATATATATATATATACAAACTTTTATGTTAGATGAGATTAATCAATTTGACAGCCCTATAACATCTTAGATATTAAAATCTTGAAATTTATGTAGTGTAAGTTACTAGTTATTCTCAGCTAAAATATATTAATATTATATATGCGCTCTTAGTGAGAGCAGTCTCTGTAAAATGGTTTATTTTTTTAAATAATATTATTATTTCATCCATTTTTTTAATGAATTGTTAGCTTTTCAACTATTTTACATTTCACGCCTATTATGCAAATAATTGATTCTCAATCATTTTTGACCGTATTATTATTATCCCTGTTTTCTTGTGTTCAGTGCAGCACAGGAGATGGTGTCTCCTCCTGATGAGCCTGTCCCAGAAACACCCGTTTCCCAGCAAACACTTCCAGGTGACCCAGCAGATCCCCCGGAAACAGCTCCTCGTCCAGACACCGGGACAACATCTCGGGCCACTGATCCAGCACAACACACCCCTGATCCGCCCCGTCCCGACGGGGACAGGCTCCCAGAGACCCAGAGCCGGGAGTCTCTGGACGAAGAGGTCGCCGCAACCACTGACATCTACTTCGTAAGTGTGACATTAAAGGGCTGGTGTAATGGCGTGATGTAGAGCGGGGCTGATTGTAGATCATGTTTCACAGATGGCCAGTCTGGAGGATGTAGTGGAGTTATGAAGGTAACATGCATGTGTAAAATGTTTATCATTAGGGCTTAAACGCGTTCAGGTGAAAGTGCTGTTCTGATGAAGGATATTAATATTAATTCTCAGACTGTGTCCTAAACACACCACGAGCAGTTTAACGTCTCGCCTGGTTAGGACACAGCGTTCGTGTGTTGTGGAAATGCTTTGGTGGCTTGAGGGTTTTAGCATGAGACACAATGTGTGTGTGTGTGTGTGTGTCACACACTCATTCTCCTCATATGCGCCGTCTCTCTCTCTCTTAATCTCATTCTGTCGTTTCCTCTCTGTCAGGGATAATCGCCTCTCTAGTTTCCTTTCTTTTTTTAGCTTTTCTGTGTATCTCTCTCTTTGATTTTGCATTTACATATGTATAATATCGTGCAAAAATTCAATTATTTTGGTAATTCAACTTAAAAGGTGAACCTAATATATTATATAGACTCAAAGTGAGATATTTCAAGCCTTTATTAGTTATAATTTTGATGATTATGAAAACCACAAATTCCCAATTTGAATATTGTGAAAAAGTTTTCATATCTGTAAGCCATAATCATCACAATTATAACAAATAAAGGCTTGAAATATCTCACTTTGCATGTAATTCAACTTAAAATGTGAAACTAATATATTATATAGACTCAAAGTGAGATATTTCAAGCCTTTATTTGTTATAATTGTGATGATTATGGCTTACAGATATTAAAACTTTTTCACAATATTCAAATCGGGAATTTGTGGTTTTCATAATCATCAAAATTATAACTAATAAAGGCTTGAAGTATCTCACTTTGAGTCTATATAATATATTAGTTTCACATTTTAAGTTGAATTACTGAAATAAATGAACTTTTGCACGATTTTTTTTTTTTTTTTTTTGCATTTCTTGTCATCTCAATGCTTCTTTAAAACTATAGTCAACATGAAATGGTACTTGCAACCAATTTGACATCTTTGACATGACGGTAAACAGGAAACAAGGGGGCGGGGTTTGATCGAATCCGTCAGGAATTGATTGGCTGGTGTGTGTGTGTGTGAATGCATTATTAATAATAATTGTGTATAACGCATTATGAAGTAATTAGACATTTAATTACAGAACCTCGCCCTTGAAAAAGTAAAGGATTACTCTTAATTTTTCTGTAATTACATAAATCCTAATGTAATTGCGTTAAAGACTGTAGAGACTATAGAATAATTCTTTATAAACAATACACTATAAAAAATATTTCCAAGAATTGTTATCACAACATATTTTCTTTTGTCAAATCAACTTTATAATAATTTATTTAATTGAGATAACTTATTATTTTGAGTGTCTGATGGTTAAATTAATCTCCTTCATTGTATTAACTCACTTTTTCCAGTTCAATCAACTTAAAATTTTAAGGCAACCCAGGTTACTTACTTTTTTAAGTTAAACCAACAATATTTTTTACAGTGTAGTGGATTTTACATCTAATGTTAAAATTTATGTTTTTAATGTAAGTTTCTTTAATTTTTTTTAAATCATTTCATATTTTATGATTTTAGAATGTAATATTATTTATTTGAAAGAATGAAAAGAGTAGTTTAATGCCTTGTAATGTTGTAATAGATGAACTTTTTATAAACTATAGTCTCCATTAACTTTATTAACCTTTCAATATTAACAAAAATATTAACAAAAATAAATATCTAATATATATACCAATATTATAATATATATATATATATATATATATATATATAACATTTATTTGTGTGTATATATATATATATATATATATACACACACCAAATATATAATATATGTACCAATATTAACAAAAATATATAATTTATTATGTGTTATAAATAAATGTAAAATATAATAAAATATAGTAACATGTTATTTTCATTTATTATTAATTATAATTCATTATTATTGTCTGAGTTATTATTAGGAGATTATGAAGACAGAAGTTTGTCCTGTAGTGTTCACTGACGGATCATTCTCATGGAGAACAGGAAGATGATTTTAGAAAGCAAAAACTGATTTTCATGTTGGCATAAATCTGTTTCATTCATCAGCATCATCATAATCTCTCTCTCTCTCTCTCTCTCTCTCTCTCCCCACTCCATCTCTTTTATTTACTCATTCTCCATTTCCTGTGTGTGTGTGTGTGTGTGTGTGCTTGTATGCATGCATGTGTGTCTGTCCGTGTGTCACTGTGTGTGTGTGCATACACATGTCTGCGGATGTGTGTGTCTGTCTGTCTGTCTGTGTGTGTGTGTGTGTGTGTGTGTGTGTGTGTGTGTGTGTGTGTGTCAGTACGCTGAAGGCAGATATTGGGTTTATTCCCCGGTCCTGCGGCGGAAGCTCAGTTCCTACAGTATCGTAAGTGTCCCGATCCGAACACCGACAGCAGGACGTCCCAAACACACTCTACATATAACACAACACCACCGTTTCATTACATCTGCCATTATCTGTTATAATCTCATCCAGTCGTGGTTGGGAAGCCCTGCTGTAACTGTAGTTTTAGGCATGATTTGAGCTTTTATTAGCATCACCTTGTGTTTGAGTGTCAGTAGATGAGCTTCATAACTGCAGAAGGTGTGTTACGAGCCCTGACTGACCCACACATGATCCCTGATAGTGTTCTCCTCGTAGAGTGTTTTAGACAGCTAACGATGTTTGAAATGCAAAACTAGCCAAACATTATGTTCAAATATGTGAAACTGTTTGCAATATGCGTACATGCAATGCATTTCAGACAATGTGCTGTGCTGTTTTCATGTTTAATACATCCAGGTAAATAATCTTTCAATAATCAATTTTAATCAATAATCACATTTTGTGTGAAATTTAAGCAGCCCATTTACAAAAGCGCATTGCATTTCAGAGATCAGAGTTATTATAGTTAACTCAAAATAAAAATACAAATATTTAAATATTCAAATATGATATATTTTTTTAAAATGCATAATTTTCATTTAGTTTCACTAAAATAACCAACACCAAAACTGAAATAAATATATAGGCATATTTAAAAATTAATCAAAAGTACTTGTCATAATTATTAGAGCCCGACCGATAAAGGATTTTGAAGGCCGATACCGATACAAATATTTGTTGGTTTTAAAATCCGATATTCTATATATATATATATATATTTTCAGAAACGCGCAACAAAACGTTAACAGATTTCCTTAACATTAGTTATTTATGAGTTTTAATATAAATGCAGGATGTGTGGCGCGTTATACACGAGTGTTGCCAACAGGGACGGTGTAGAGCGCCCTCTGGTGGACAAACTATACAACTCCAACACTCATGACATGATTGAAGCGTGTTTCGTCCGTTTTTATTTTATTTTTGAAATATTCATTTATCGGCCATTATAACTGCCGATACCGATAGTTTGGAAAATGCCTAATATCGGTCTGCCGATATATCGGTCTGCCTCTAATAATTATTAACAAAAATAAAAACAGAAAATATAAAAAATAACTAAATCACACTTTTAATAAAAAGTGTATCTCAATGATACTAAAATAACACTGATATTATAGTTTTCTTTAATATTTTATTTTTATTTAGTTTTATATCATATATTGATTTTTGTGGCTTTTAAAAAAATATTTATTTCTCTGTTTTACCACATGAAGTTAAACTAAATGAAAATGTGATGCGTTTACATTTATTTTGTTATAGTTAATCAATACATTTTTTTATAGTTAATATTTATTTTATTTCAAGTAGCAAAACTGTTATTTTCCGGCTTTAGTTTTAGTTAAATGAGACGTTATCGGTCGTTCAGATACTGCGTGTGTTCGGAGAGTGTGTGTTCTGTTGTCATCACTGTTGTCTGTCCAAATGTCTTTTCTAGTCATACGTGTGTTTGTTCTCTCTGTCTCTCTGTTTCATGCTGTGTGTGTGTGTGTGTGTGTGTGTGAAGCCTCCAGAGGAGAGGAGCTGGATGTACTCGTCTCTGCATTACGGCTCAGAGCCTCAGACTGTGTCCGATGGGGAAAGTGACACAGTAAGTGTGTGTGTGTGAGTGTGTGTGTCTGTGTAAATGTCCGTGTGTGTCTCTGTCTCTGTGTGTGTGTGTCGTAAGATGTGTGTGTGTGTAAACAGTCCAAGGGCGTGTGTGTGTATATATATATGTGTGTGTTGAGAAACAATCTGTGCAAGATCAGGGTTATTGCATCTCAGATTGAAGTATGCGGAGTAAATGTGTGTGTGTGTGTATATATATATATATACATATAATTTAAAAAAATATGAAAGTAATTACAAAATTGAAGGAATTTAAGAAATGTTAATGCCAATAACATTTTAACCAATCATTAAATAATTCTAGATCGATGCTAACGTTTACATCCAATCAGGATAGTTTGTATGATAGTCAGTATGATCACGTGTGTGTGTTTGTGTGTGTGCAGTAACTGATGAGAGCTCTTGCTGTGACGTGAGCTGACCTGGACTGCAGCGCTCTTCAGGATGGGTTTCAGGAAGTTACTTGGGTTCACGTCCCGACCGGTTCGCCTGAAGAGCAACGTCATCTCTCAGAAAACCCAGTGTGTGTGTGTGTGTGTGTGTGTGTGTGTTTCTGAACCCGAGCATCTCACCGCTAGGACGTGCATCCACTCCCTGAAAAACATCTCAGCAAGTTGTGGACGACCCACAATGCACTTCTTCAGTCATTCCACGAACACATCCGAACAACGCGTCGGCAATCCCGAAATCCGTGCGTCCGGCATGGAGCTTCTGTCATTATGCAATATGAACTCTTCCCTGTGATCGCATGATATATCTTTATTCTGTGGACGTCAGAGATGGATATATGCAGATGTTCAAGAGACTCTGAAGACACTACATATCAAACATCACAAATCTGTCCTTTATAGATTTCTTTCTCTGTATTTATTCATAAGACAGATGAATTTTACTATAGATCATATTTTGGTCTGTTATGCTGTTTTAGATCGGCATCATCATTAAAACATGGTGAAGTTTCTCTATCCTGCGCAAAATCATTCATTTAATCAATATTTTTGTCGGTTTTCACGTAAAATGCCTAAACATCCTTAAATCAAGACATTTGCTTGAGAATTAAAATTGGGACTTTTTTTGAAAACATGTTTTTATTTTTATTTACTCTACTGGCAAATTCTTTATTTCTTATTTTAAGCTGTTAGAAAATTATTAAGATAAATCCATATTCTGTTCAAGGAATAGGAACATCCTCGTAATTTTATGGATGACTTAATATATTTAGTATAGATTTTTTGCATATAGTTTTTTTTCTTATTTTAAGCTATTGTTATTGTTATTAATAAAAATACGTTTATTAAAAACATTATTAAGAAAAATACATATTCTGTTCAAGGAATAGGAACATCAAATTTATGGATGTCTATTACGACTTTATGTTTTTAGCATAGATTTTTCGCAATTTTTTTTCTTATTTTAAGCTATTATTAATAAAAATACGTTTATTAAAAACATTATCAAGAAAAATCCATATTCTGTTCAAGGAATAGGAACATCTTTTATCCTCATAATTTTAACGGATGTCTATTACGACTTTATACATTTCAAATTTAGCCGTTTTTTGCAAATAGATTTTTTTCTTTTTTTAAGCTATTGTTATTATTGCCAGTTCTGTTTAATGCAAGATTTGAGAATATAAATGCATCTTCTTTCAAGGATGCTTAGGTAATATTCATGCTTTTAGATAATTATGCTGTTTTTTTCAAGTTATTTTATTGTCATCTTTTATCTATGTCATTTTATGGATAACTTTTTTATATTTTTTAATGTCTTTTTGTTGTTTTTAAGGCTAATTTTGGATTTGCTGAATCTCATAATCATGATTATCTGGTTCAGAACAGATATTTATTTACACAAATATATATATATATATATATATATATATATATATATATATATATATATAGGGAATGTTCCGGTTCAGTAAAAGAGAAAATGTACAGCATTTCTGATTCATTCTTCAGTTCTTAAAAAACAAAAAAACAAACAAACAAAAAAAAAAAAAAACGTCTTTACGGTAACTTAAAATGAAATAGAAAATTTTCTGGAACTTTACAGACAAGGTTAAGTCGATCTATTTTAACACACATCAGCACATGTAATGTTTTCAAGTCTTGTGGCAATACTTTTAAAACTGTATTTTAATGTTGATCATTATAAGTGTGTTTTTGTTTCAATACATTTTTATTGAACCTAAAACATTTCTTAAACATTCACTTTGGATTTAGATTAAAATGGCCTTATTTGAAAAGTGAAACATCAAATCTATCAAACTGGGTCATTATGTTCATATTTCTCATTTGTCATGGGGCGAGTCTTTGTAGAATAATGTACAATATATTTTAAAGCATAATCATGTATTATATGTCTCTGCAGTAATAAGAGTTTTATTTTTGGGGCTGCATGTGTGTTTTGTCTGAGAGTTTGTCAGATCCTGTAAAGCTCTAGTGTGTGTGCGTGTGTGTGTATGACTGTATATATTTTTGGAAGGTCTTGCTGTACTTTAGGCGCCATTTCCAAGCTCTTCTGTCATGAGACTCAGTGCATGTGTCCGATAGTGTGTGTAACCGTCCTGTGTGTTTGTACAGATCATTAGTAATGATGTAAAGACAAAATCTACAAATAAAGCCTATATGGAAAACAGACGTGTGATGTTGCATTGAGATAAGATGTTTTGCTCTTGATCATAGCTGTCAACCCTCCCGTTTTTTCCGGGTTTCTCACGTATTTTAGCTCTTTTCCCGCTGTCTTCCCGTTTGAGTATTTTCCCATAAAATATACCGTATTTTTACTCTCTGATTGTGTGAGACGTACGGGCTCGGACAGATTCGGCTTGAAGTCGTTTATCCTCGGATGCGGTGCCGCGCGCGCTGGCCGGAGACACACTGGCTGCGTGGCGTGTCCGTTTTTATTGCACGCTGCCTGCGTGACACGCGCGTCTCCAGAAAACGCGTGCATGCTAGAAATAGAACTGACGCCTATTTTTCACGCGACAGGCGTGTATCTTTGCCTGGAATTTCTTTGCGTTTCCAGGCAAAAAAATAAATAAAAAATAGGAAACGATGTTTAGGCTAGCTGAATGTAATTTTGTACTCGAATACATATTAATACATTACATTTTGATGTTTGAAAGTCTAGGTTTTTACATAAATTCAGATATCAATGTAATTTAAACAAATAATAATTATTATAAATAGATTTTCAAATATATGAATAAAATATATTTTCTTTTTTTCCATTTGTTTCTTAAGCTCTTAACAATGTGATTACATGAAGAAGAAAAAAAAACGTGAAAAATAAAACGTTCTGGGCCTCAGGAGGATATAAAGATAGTGTGTCTTGAGTGATGGTCCACCATCAGGCTAAATAGGCTCTTTAAAGCTACACAAAATGTGTAAATGTAATTAAAATAAACAGACAGCCCACTTCCCTATTTTGCGGATTTTGGAAGATGTGTGATAGGCTAAATGTTGAAATTGTTGTCCAAATGCTAGAGCAACACATGCTAATCCAAATGTAGATTTTTTTCCCTTTAAATGACACTGTCTCTTTCTCTCTCACACATAGGCTAGTTATGAACACCTTAGACTTTTAAGGATTGTGCTTTATTTTTAAAGTTTGTGGGTGAGAATCGTGCAAAAAAAAAAAAATCCCTTATTTTGGGGATGGATTCCGGGAAAACTCCCTTATTTTCAATGTTCAATGTTGACAGCTATGCTCTTGATTATTTTCTGTTTCTCACAAAAATCAAATGTCATGCTGAATACATGTATGGGTAAATAAACAGCAACATTTATGTGCAGTCTATAATATAGAATATTTGTATTATGTCTTTTTTATTATATGTTGTTTTAAACACGTGAGCATCTCTTTTGTCCGTTTGTTTTTCATGTTTTTTGTCATAAATGTATTTTTCATGCTTGTGTTTTTTGTGTAGTGTTTATTTTTGTGCAGTGATGACCTGAAGAAACCTGACGCTGATGGACATGGAAAAATTACCCAGAAATCCATATGACAGCAAACCTGACGAGTCTACGAGAGATCTGAGGTGATTTTCTTTATTCCATCTTCTATTTAAAGTTTACTGTGTGTGTGTGTGTGTGCGTGCGTGACATTGTCAAATGACAGCTAATGTCAAACTTTCAGATTTACTTTTTAAAAAAAAAAAAAAAAATACCTTTTCAAACTTCTAGACAGTTGGTCTTATTTTCACGAACATTAAATGAGATCATTTTCATGCCAACAAAGAAACTGAAAAGTTCGACCAAAAATCACAAAACCTGTCTCTTTGTGTGTGCAACATGCCAATTATAATTAAACTGGTCTCTTAATCGATTCCTTCACGCGAAAAACTCCAATTTTGCCATAGTCGCCCTTCAACTTCTTGTCCGCCATTTTGATTGTTTTTTTAAAAACACTCTTTCAAACTCCATATTCGAGTCAGATAGATAACCATTTTTATATACCATATCAATGAATTTGATGGCATGATGTCAAACTGCGTCTGAGGCTGTATTTCTGGAAACAGCTGACTTACTGACATCTTCGTGTAATTTCACTTAACTCTGACCACACTAGATCAATTTGATGTCAGCGCCACCTATTGGTCAAAATTAATAAGCAACTATGTCATATTAAAAGTTGCTTAAAACCGACTCCAATTTGTGCAGTTGGTCATTCTGCTTCTGTGCTGCTCTTGCGGATATATTTGTATTATGGTGTGTGTGAACAGGGGCTCGTTCTTCGTACGTCGCTAACTCAGTTAGCTGGATTTGATTGTTGGCGATTTGCCATGATCTTGGATCGTTTGGTTCTTCGACGCTCATCCTGGACTTGCTGTCATAGCAACAGGTCCGTCAGCTTGAACCTGCTCGCGAGCAGGCTTATTTCATGTAAACAGGATTAGATCGCGGCTGATACGGGAAGTCCTTTAGCGCAGTGTGATAGTGTAGCTTAATTTCTGAGATTTATTTTTGTTTTCTCGTGAAACGATCGTCGTGAGGGTGTCGTTTAAATACATTATTATTTTGTTGGAAATGCACATTAATGTTTGATTCGATGTCGGGCTTCAACAACAGTACAAAATGTTTGCATTGCCCTAAAATTATTTGCGAGTGGCTTCCTTTATACTATTGGAGATGCGGAGAACTTGATAAGCTTTCTGTTGTGCCAATTACAAAGTAGTGCTCTTAGTTTTTTTTTTTTTTTTTTTTGCCACAATGACATGAGCTTTGGCCAACTAAAGGGAAGATTTCAGGGTCTAAAAAGCCTGAGGGTTGCACCTGACAGGGCCTGTGACATTGCATGTGCCATATTACACAACACTGCCAACATCAGAAAAAGGAAAAAAAAAAAAGTTTAATTAAGCCTAAAATAAAAGACAAGACAAATTTGCAAAACTCTATTTGCTTAGAGTTTAATTTCAATTGTTTTTTCTTTGTAAAGAAAAGCCAGTTATTCAGTCATCTTTTTAAAAGATAGTATGCTGAAGTTTATTTTGAAGCAACTCTATTTCTAGTGCAATTTTTTCTTAGTCAAGTTCTGTTTCTCCCCCTGATTTTTGTTTTTTCAAAAAAATACTCTATTTTCTGTTAAAGACTCACATAGGGAACGAATTTAACCCTGTGTCGTTTGTGTCACACATGCCTCATGCAACAAATAAAAAGCAAAAGTTGTCTCTACACTGCCCACCCCTGTATCACTGCTGTGTGCAGACTCTTCTGTACATGTGGACTCCTGTCAGAAATAACAGGCATAGGCACAATTAAATTAAAGTACTTCCTCCAAAGGACAGTCATCTGAGAAGTTTCCTTCACTCTCCAGTGCAATGTGATTGATAACTCATGGCAAAATATTTTTACATTAACATAAGTTTATCAGTTTTTACTTTCAAAAGACAAAGCAATTTATCATTACTCAAGATTTAACAGTTGAAATGACTAAACCAGCCAATTTGGATTATAGGTCT